ACACATAAAAAGGAAAATGTATTATCATTAGAATCAAAATGATTAATCAAATCGCTTAGTTTAAAGAAGCCTTATATTTTATATTTTTGGTCATGATGATTTTGACAATAAAATTTATTTTTGGTTTTAATGAATGATGCATGGATTTGGCATAAAAGAAAATGACATGCATGTATGAAATCAATCAATAAGATGAAACAAAAAAGAGAAAAACATTTTTCTTTAAAATTTCTCAATCCTTATCTTATCGAGTTTTTCAAAAGAGAGATTGATGAATTTATTTGTATCATTTTTATGAATCTCTTGGACTATGAAAATGATTTTGACGATTTGAATTTGAATGAGGTTTATCCAAATCATGATCTTAATTTCTTGGAATTACTTGAGATTTTTTTTGAATCAAGATCTCTTCTTTGTACTCCGATTTTCTTGATATTTTATTTAAAGAGGAGATTTTTTTTTTATCATGATCTTTTGAATTATAACTTGAGATCTTTCATTAATATATAAATCATGACCTTGACAAGTTGATATTCTTATGAATCAAGATTGTTTAATATATTTCTTCTTTTTGCTATCCAAAAGAATTATAATTTATCTCTTGATATTCATAATTTGTCTTCATAAATTATATACCTCATCACCAAGTTAATTTTTCTTGATATATTTCATATGATGATTTGATAAATGATGAATGTTTGGTACCAACAATCATGAAGTGATAAATGCCTAAAAAAGGAGTTAATTTAATGTTATGCCCAAAATGATGTATGATGAATGCTTGAGTATCATGTATGATATGCCCATAGAGATGATTGATTTATTGGTATAATGCATAAAGTAAGGATGATATGTAAGGTTTTGAAATTATGCATATTTTAATTTAAAACTATAATGATACACAAACACATTGAAATAAGATTGATACTTTACCTTTGTCATAATTTAAAAATTATTATAAAGAAAAAAAGAATTATAAAATTATATTTTTCCCTTCTTTTTGACAATAACAAAGGGGGAGAACAATTGATAACTTGTTATCATGAATATCTCAAAAAATTTGCTTGCTTGCATATTCGAAAATAATGTAAAACTTGCCAAAGTTTCTAGCTTGCATGTTGC